AACAGTCAGTAGGCTCGCGCTTCGAGTTAGCGCAGGGAAACGATACGTCAGCTCAGCTCGCGTTTGCTGTGTCGTGTGCGCACTCTCAGTTCGCCATCTGGAGCTAATGGGTCGAGTTTGGATGGACACACACGAAGCCTTGGATCGACTCTCGACCTCTGTAAGTCAGTCTGATCTATCCGATTCGTTGTCATATGCGTTGTTTCTTGCATGCGAATGCAATCCATATGTATTCATCTATCGTTCCCTCGTATTATGTTCATGTACCAGCCACCTCTTTTTGTCCTTTTCTCAACATGTCCTTATTATACTCATCTTCTAATCCTAGACTCTTCCTCTACAAAGCGATAGCAAAACCCACGGCTACGACCGCAGTGCTAATCGCGGTCCACAATGTCCTGCCACCAATCATGGCGCCACTGGCGTCACCCGAAGCAGGGCCGCTCGAGCCCTCGCCATCTCCCGTTGGGCTCGGCCTCGGGGGTGGGAAGCTTGTGTTGGACGGCACGTCGGTAAGGTTCTGCACGGTAATCCAGGTCGCCGCCAGAGCAGTCGTCAGGTTCGCGTCAGCCGCAAACTGGCTGACATTGAAGCCGACCCTGTTGTCCGCCAAGTCCGCGTACATGGAGGGTATGCTGAAGTTGCGCGGTTGTTGCATGAGGATGAATGTGTAGCTGTGGGGGCTGTCACCCACTGGAGGTGAGGGCTGGAGGTATGGGACGGGGTTGTCCGACGGAATGTCGAGGGCTGAGCCAGTTGTGTTCGCGGAGATGGGAACAGAGCGTGTGACGTTGGTAGCGATCCAGTGGACTAATTGGACGCGTGAGTTGTTACGGGGCACGTCGAGGTCGACCATGAGGAGGACGCATTGGCCGGGGCCTCGCTCGTCGGAAAACCATACTGGCGACGAGACGGTTGGGGCTGCAGCAGTTTCTGGTGGTGATCAGTGTTAGTTGGTGCTTAGCAGTACTCGGCTCGACTGCGCCGCGACGACAGCGGATGGAACGTACCGGGACGAGGAATGCGCTCTCCGCCGGGCGACACGGTATTGTTGCCGTACGTCACGGTCAAGTTCTGAGTGACGTCGATGGGAAAGCCAGGCGCTGATCCCGCTGTCGCAACACCTGCGAGTAGCGCAGTCGCGCTGAGAATGGTCTTGGTGAACATGGTTGGTGTCTTGGCTGGTGTTGTAGTCGGCGTTGTTGTGGAGCGGGTCGTACTGTTGTGATGCAGTTGGTGCTTGATGGTCGAAAAGCAACGGGCGCAAGCAGCTTCTTTAGTATTTTGGCTGAACCTGCGTCGGCTGCGGGAGCGTAGGGCTTGATGCGCAGCTAAAGGCCTATTTCCGTGTAGCCGGCGTGACAGCAGAGGTTCATGACGTTTACCAAGACTCGGTCCCTTGCTCGGGGTATCGCACGGCCAGCGGACGGCATCCCGGCACAGCTCAAGAAAAGGCTGGGGCTGGCCGCCTGAGGGGCCTTGTTCATGCCGCAGCCAGAATTATTCCAAGCATTGCGCTGGTCGCCTCGGCCTCAGGAACATCGTCAATCGTATCTACCATGTTGTCCGCGAGTGTATGTAAGCATGCGTCGTTATTTGGTTGCGGTTGCGACGCATGCTCGCCTAGTTGGGGCCCAGGAGACGGGAGCCGGCTGAACATCCAGCTATTCAGGCCGCCCTCATCGCACGATGCCTGCAATTAAGCCACGCATGAATCAAGTATGCCTGAGATTTGTCTATGCTCTATGGTTTCGAGACCTTGCATCCTCATATGGACTTATCGGCGACAGCCCTATCACCTCTCGCTCGGGATGCAGACGTTGTGTCCGCACAAGCGCAATGGTATCAGAAGCCGCGCCTCATCACCATCCTCCAGGGCTATTATAAGGTGATCATGTGGTCTCGCGCAGGGCCGACACCGATCCATTTGACCTTAACTCCGACGAACTTCTCAATGTACTCAATGTAACTCCTCGCTTGGCTGGGCAGGTCGTAGTAGCTTGTCACGCCAGTCGTCGGCTTCTTCCAACCTGGCAGTGTATCGTATTGTACTTCGACTTGGGCAAGGATCTCGGGGTTCGCGGGGAAGCCTTCAAGCACCTCGCCCTTGTACGAGTAGGATGTCGCAACCTTGAGCTCGTCAAAGTCATCCAGAACGTCGAGCTTGGTGAGGTTGATGGCGGTGTAGTCGTTGCACGCGTGTGAGTGCTTGACAACGACCAGGTCGAGCCAGCCGCAGCGGCGCTTGCGACCGGTTGTAACGCCGACTTCATGGCCCACTGATTGAAGCTTCTCGCCCACCTCGTTGAGCTGCTCGGTAGGGAAGGGTCCGCTACTACTTGTTAGCCTCTGAATTTGTCTTTCGGTGCGATGCAACTCACGATCCGACACGGGTAGTGTATGCCTTGACCACGCCAATGACCTCTTTCAGTGACCGCCATCCCAAGTTGAGACCTGTGATGACACCTCCAAGACCAGTGTTTGACGATGTGACGAAGGGGTATGTGCCGTAGTCGATGTCCAGCATCAGCGCGTTCGCACCCTCGACGAGGATTTTGGCGTTCTTCTCCTTTGCCGATGCGAGGAGCGGGATCTGGTCGACGACGTAGGGAGCAAGCTTCTCGCGCAGAGTCTTTGGCATTGTCAGTCTTTGCCCCGTATATTCCAACCCCATTGTGACTCACCTTATACTTCGTAATCTCCTCTTCCACATCGTACTTGAGTAGATCACCGTATCGCTTCTGGAACGAGTTGGCTAACCTCCTGAGCTTCGTCTCGAAGATCTGCTCGTCGAAGAGGTCGCACATGCGGAGGCCGCTCCTGGTCATCTTGGTGCTGTAGGTTGGGCCGATACCCTTCTTGGTCGTGCCTGCATCCCGCCATCAGCACGTCAGTCCCGCAGCAGGCGCGTGTGCTCCTCACCAATCATGCCACCACCCAATTCCACCTCCTCCAGGCCATCCACCATCTGGTGCACATCAAACACGACATGGGCGCGGTCCGAGATGAATATTCTTCCGTCCGTCTTCAATCCGTGTTTCTCCAGCGCTTCCAGCTCCTTGAAGAAACTAGGTACGTGGACGACGCAGCCACTTCCGATGACATTGATGCAGCCGGGGTTTACGAGACCGCTCGGGAGGATATGGAAATCGTATGTCACTCCGTTCGCGACAATGGTGTGTCCGGCGTTGTTGCCGCCCTGGGCGCGGGCGCAGATTTGCGACTCATGGGCTAGGATATCGGCCAATTTTCCTTTTCCTTCATCTCCCCACTGTGCTCCGAGCACCACAGTAGTCGACATCGTGAGGGCGAGAGACAAGAAGGAAAGAGTGGACGGGGCGGCAGGTGGGTTTTCAATTCCGCGTTGACTCGATCTAACAAATTCGTGCCCCACCCATCACCCCGCGATGCCGCAATTTTCCGCACGAGCCACCAGTGACGCATGTGAATGAGCCGCAATCCACATGTCTGGGCTGATCTGCAATCTTCGCAATCACAGCCTCTACATTGCTGTACAGCTACGTCGTTATCGTGGTAAACGCATCAAGAAATTAAGAAATCTCATTTCTAATATCTGCAAACACTTCCAGTGAACGCTTAGTCACATCCAGACCTATCCTCCTAACCGCGCCAAACACCCGGACCCGGTGGCTGATACGTTTCTGGTGCCGCTGTATACTTGTTCAGGTCAACAAGAATTCCCGGGTCATTACTTCTGCGGCCTCATGTTAGCATGTTCTTGGTGCTCATCAGTCTGACTTACTTGTAAGCACCTGGAAACGCAACTAACAGGCTCGGCAGCCCATTCCCTCCCTCAATTATCTTGATCTGCGAGCAAGCCAGGTAGAACTGCGCTTTGTTCGCTTGCATAGCCATATGCAGTGCGATGTGCTCAACGCGGAGCAGGTAATCGCCCGATGGCGTGGCAGCAGGGATTGTTGTGTTGGGTGTGAGATACTCGTCTGCGAAACGTCATTAGTAAGCGCCAAGTGAAGAGAAGGGACAGCTTACTCTGTCCTGGCCAGCTCATCTGTTTCTGCGCGTTTACGGTCGGCATCGTGGTACTAATCTTGAACCACACTGCACCACTCCCGTCCCAGTTCTTCACATCCTTGCCATCAGGAACTCTCGCAAGGTAGTATTGCGTTGGTCCCGGGTGATTGACTTGTTGCGTGGATATGTAGTGAATGATTGATCCGGCCGGCACGCTTGCGACGTTTGGCGCGGTTTTGGAGGTGTAGCAGCGGATGTCTGCGACCGTGGGGTTCTGGACAAAGTAAGAATCATAGACACATCATGGGCCAGTGGTAATCCGAAGAGTATCTTACCTCGATGCCTTGCTTGGTGTTCGCATTCTTGGTCTCGCGGGTCGAGGCCCAGTCTTTATCTTCTGACTTTCCATCTACGACAAGACGTGGGAATGTGTCTGTTGGTATGAGACTCATATCACTGGAAATCATTTGTTGCTAACTCACAATGTGCCTTGACCACCGTAGCGGCTACCAGAAGTGTGATAAGTATCTGCATGATGAGGGGTCAGATTCTTGCGCCTGAGAAGCATTCACCTCTCGTTTGACGTCTTATGTATGTTTCATGACCCCAGTTCCAGAACAGACATGTGAGCTGAGTTGCGAACTATCGGTAGATTAGCTTGGCGGTTTGGCATACACCGAAGTAGTCTACTGCAGACCATACACCCATCACAATATACCATCATCGACAAAAGAACCAATAGGCATCAATATGTTTATGAATCATGTGCAACGGTCCAGCATCTGCCGAAACAAAGCAGGCCAATGCCCAGACCGCATGTTGCCAATAGCTCACCAGATCAGTAGCATAGTTTACCATCACAACAAGCATATGAAGAATTTGGAGGCCCATGCATTACTGGGCAAGTTGAAAGGGAAAAGTTGAATTCCCAAATGCCCTACGCTAACATCGAGCAAAGTAAAAACGAACGAAGTGTTGAGGTCGTATCGAATCGTAAACTCACACGTCTAGTGCATGTAGCGGAACTCAGGGTGTCTGTATCCGAGATCCTTGATCTGAGCAGCGGTCTTGCCCACCAAGCGGTGGTCTCGCCTGCCCATATCACGCTGCTTGTTCTCCCACTTGCAGTAGCAGATACCAAATATGGCGAGAATACAGACGCAACACTGACCAACCAAGTTGATGGTGTGACCGATTGGGTATCGTGGCGCGTCAGCACTTGTGTAGGTCCTGTAATGTATTAGCCTAGGATTTGATTTAATTCTTCACATGATCTGACGTACCAAGTCGCGAGAATACCTCCAGCGGTACCCAGTGTGACAACGTAAGCAGTCGAGACGGAGCGGACAGCAGGGCCGGCCGCATTGTTCGCCGCCCACGCAAGGAAGCCAGGACCTCCGGGAAATGCACCAATGGTGATCAAGAAGATACCGCCGTATCGGACGTTAGGGTCGGTCGCCCATCGCATGATGGAGAAGCCCGCAATAGCCGGGAGCGTAAAGACAGCGAGGTAGACACCACGGCGGTTCGTCTTGTCTGATGCGAAAGCTATTGCGATAGCGATCAAGCAAGCACATACATATGGAGGTACTGAGTAGAGTTGTGCCTTTGTGGCCGTCCATCCGAGATCCCTGAGGATAGTGGGCTAGTAATGTATGTTAGTAAACCATAGGTCATGGAGAGAATATCGGCTTACCATGAAGAGGGAGATACCCTGTACAGTGATGTTGATGAAGAAGAAACCAAAAGCACAGAAGTAGTTTGTGATGTTCATCACGGCCCGCTTCACGTGGTGTACTTCAGTCTTTTCGTTCTCATCGGCTCCTCCCTTCAGCACAAGTCGCTGTGTGGCAATCATTCGTTCGCGCTCGTTCAAGAACCAGCATTCTTCTGGGCTACGAGGCATAAGGAAGGGAGCAGCAAGGCCGACAATGACGGTAAAAAGTCCCTCAAAGAAGAAAATGTTACGCCAGGTATGGAGAATCATAGTCGAAGCTCCCCATGGTGGAATACGAGCAAGACTGTAATGTAATTAGTCTTTCATGTAATCTCAAGAACGTGACAGGACCTACGCAGTAGCGAGCAGTCCACCAAAAGCCCCAGCCATTGAGGCTGCGGATACGTAGATACCGATGCGGAACAAAAGTTCGTTGCGCTTGTAGAAACACGTGATGAAGAATGCCAGTCCCCTACAGACCAATGGTTAGCATGCACTGTAAACAGCGATAGAAGGTACTTACGGCATCACACCACCTTCAAACACACCTAAGAAGGCCCTTGCAACCAACAGCCCTGCGAAGCTGCTCACAAAGGCGCTGCATAGTGAGACAAAACCAAAGCCACAGACGAGAAGTGGCAAGTAGTATTTCGGGCCAAGTCTCTTGAGAAGAATGTTGCTCGGTACTTCGACGAACATGTAGACAATGTAGAAGATCGAGGTAACCCAGTTGAAACGGACACCTGTGTTGAGACCTAATTCCTCTCCCATACCCTGGATACGCGCGTTTCCAACATTGACACTTTCAAAATGGTCAGCGAACAGTTTTGCGCAGAGTGAAATGATACGTACCGATCGAGGAAACAGAGCAGGTAAAGGAAGGTCGTGAGCGGCACAATCACGCGGTCCAGTTTACGTCGAACCTTCTTCTCTTCCTCAGCTGTCCAGGTAAACTCGCCGTCTGTAGATCGGTCGCTTCCATTGGCCTCCTCAACTAGCAAATCCGTTAGCACATGTTCGCAACAAGATTAGTAAACAACGTACAAAGCACATTGTCTCCCTTCTCCAGCTCAGCAGGGGTTGGGTGGTTTGGGTGTGTCCCCGTCGATACCATCCCGATTTGTGCCATCTTGTCCAAGTAGGATGCCGAATTCGAGATCTAAAGGATGCGAAGCGAAATCTCTTCGTTGTGTCGTGGCCCCACAAGTTCCGAAAGTCTGGGGAAAGGAATCTGGGGAAGAGCACAGCCCATATAAGAACGTACGATGCGTCCCGGTATCCGAACAAGCTTACTCGTCGCACGTCTGTGTCTTGGGTCGCAAGTCGAAAGCCAGGAAGAGAGAATCGGCAGTTACTTCGCAGCCTTCAGAGGATGGCAATACGGCACCATGTTTAGCTTGATGTCCGCTCCACCGCGCGCTCTTGTCCCGTTCCAGCTGGCGGCTTGATTGAACAGGGAGCGAAGTCGGTGCGGAAATTTTACCGAGTCGACACAGAACCCTACATAACGCCGCATAATTATCAACGGCCTCCTCCTTGGTTGGCATGTTGCGGGGCCGTTCTCTTGGCTGACATGGGTTGACTCGTGGAGCCCGCGAGGGTGACGGGCGGATGCTTTCATTGTGGTCATTTTGAAACGCCACGCTTGGCGAAGCGGGACGAGAACTTTCGTGTTGCTAGCAGCTCGCGATGCGCTTCGGCAGTTCTGTTCATCTTCTCAGTGCTTCCTGATGGTGTTAACAAAATGTAGTTATGGAGTTCTTCTCCTCATAGATTGAACTGGGGTAGGGCGGATGATTGCGGTCAGATTACGGGCGTAATGTGTGAGAGAAGATTTATCCACCGTGGACGAGTTTTGCTGCCGCACCAACAATGTGGGTGATTGACTGCTGCGTATCAGCGCGGCAGGATTGCATACGGTCTACAGTATTCCAGACAGCTGGGTATCCTTGCCGCCGAGGTCTAACGTGATGCAACTGGCAGCCTTCACAGATCATGATGTACCTTTGCTGCTCATGCAAACAATAACATCCCCGCAATTTAGCCGGAATCCTTCGTCGTCCGGTGGATTTTCTTGGTTTCTTTGTGACTTTCCGAGCAACAAAATGCAAGAAATCCACCGACGCGTACTCGCAAGTAGAGCCCCTAAGCTTCTCAGCGAGTAGAGTGTGTGATAGGGTCCATCAAAGTGGGCGGGTCTCGTAGCTGGACTGTTCCGCTCGGTCTAGTCGTATAGTGGCTGCAGGTTCATGGCTCGCACAAACGCAGAATGCAAAAGCTTTGGGAAGTCGAAAGACGCGACTCGGTGGCCGAAGATGGCTGTCAGTGCTGCGAAGTAGGACGGGCGCCGGCGTCGGGGAACAGGACGCTCTTGCCAAGCTGTCGCGCCACGTGGCTGAGATACTGAGCTTCACAACATTGCGAGTTTCATAAATACGTACTGACCTACAGAAGATCAAATAATTTCAATTCGACAAGGATTCGCAATTGCAGTATTCAAAGCGCCGATCATCTCCAGAGCCTCGTCCTCAGAGCTTCAACTTCTCGAGGCGCCGTGTCAACGACCCACGACTCCACAAATCATCGCGTCAAGGGCCACTTCCCCTCACAAATACATGAACCTCCACAGTCGCACACGGGAACGGATGTCCTTTCTCGGCAACGCTACCTTTGGCGTCTCGCCTCCGTCTCCGCCAACTCCTTCATCACCTCTCTAATCTCATTAGGTCTTACCGGCGCGTCATCCAGATCCACCTTCGAAGCTGATGATACTATAGATGCGTGGGCTTTGGCGGCTTGGGTGGCTGCCCCGGCTTTCTTTTCGGTAGCTGATCGAACACGGCAGTCGTCTTAAGGGCGCGTTTGTTCCCGCGATCATCCTCGGTTTCGGCTATTCGATCATGTGACCACTCTTGGACATCGCCTTCAGCAACTTAGACTCCAAAGAGATCAGCTTCGTGGTGATCGAATACAGGTCAAGAGTTTTGCGCACCGTTATCAGAGAGAGCTGATTGCAACTCTTCTCGAAGCTCCAAGATTGCGATTTCCAATGCCATATTCTGGTCGTCCATTTGTCGGACGAACTCAGCTTGCTCTACCGCCAAGATGTTAAGCTGAGTATCTACTTCTTCAGCATGGCGCTGACCATCTGACAGTAGCTCTTCCAGAGTTGCTTTAACCTCATCTTCAACCAAATCCAGGCTATCTGCAAGCTCATCTCTCTCTTCTTCAAGCGCGTCCATCCGTTCCCTCAACTCATGCACTGTGTCTGTTTCAGCAGCGTGAGATCTAGTCAATCGCGCGAACGCTTCATCGCGATTAGCTTCTTCTTGCTCTAGACATTCTCCGCAGTTTTCGTCCCTGTCTTTCTCGAGCTTTCTCCAAACAGATCGATGATTGGCAGCTTCTGCGGTTTTGGCAGTGGCACAAGACCATGTCGTTAGATCTAGATGCCCGCAGGCGAATGTTGTCTCGAGATCGACGTGAACACAGATGTCTGCTGTTGCTACCTTTAAGTCCTGTTCACGCTCAGCTTTCCGTTGCTGAAGCATCTTAGCAGACACGATCCCAGCATCTCGAGCCTTCTGTTTCTCTTCGTTACGTTCGCGACGGAGGCGATTTATGAGTTCCGTTACACAGGGTCTGCATTCGTACTGCCTTGTCCTAGTATGGTCTGCAGTCTTCTTACAACTCCTCTCCCCACAGGGGAGGTTGATCTTGCTCTCGTGGCCACAGTCGTACGTAATTACGAGAATGGTACACATAACGGACAATATGATTTTGAGGTAGCGGTATCCGGCGATCTCACTCTGCGATTAAGATATTGGTGATAGACACGACTCTCGTATAGATTTTGAGCATCTACGCTACAACCTTGGAATGATCAACGACGTGTCACTCAGAGAGTCTTCAACAGCTTCAACCTTGCCATGTGAGCCAAATCGTCACATTGGGCAAAACGGGTCACATTGGTAAATGCTTCACAAAGGCAACTAATTACAAAACCATTACATTCGGCACACGATTTCTGTTTTCCCCAGAAAGCGCCGTCCACTACCTGCATCCTGTCTCGCCAAACACCCAATCTACTTGTCTGCTCTCATTTATCACGCTAGCCCAGGATGTGCACAACATATCGCGTTTACTTCTACTGCGGACACCTAAAGTCCACGACCACTCACGAGCACTCTGGCATCGAGTGCACAATCAACGAGGCGAAGAGCATCTCAATCGACGAAAAGTGCAAGCGCTGCGTCCAACGGACATCTCGAAAGAACGTCCAACTCGGCGATATCATGAACGGTGCGGAAGTACCATCGATAGTAAAAGGCGAGGAGAGTGGTGCCCATAGTGGCGACAGTGAGCGATGATAGGAGGTTCGGAAGACCAGGAGTTCTCGATATTTAACTTCACTATCATCGAACCGTCATGAACAAGCCAGAGAGCAAGAAAACACATATGTCGGGTTCTGGATTGGAATCAGACTAGATACGCATACGATGAGGTAGCCCTCTATGCGGTGATCTACGCTCACAGGTTTATTATGGAAGTCGTAGCATCGCTGAAATACGACGTACTCAAATCTCGCGTTGCGTCCGATGCATGCAAACGTGATGACCTGGTGAAGCGCTTGTACGTTCATGGAAGTAGCCTATTGTCCAAATTGTAGTCACATAAGCCCAGCGTGCAGTTCTCCATGGTCTCTTCAGCTCATTCCAAGCATCACAGCACCCTATATGGCAGACATCACTGTACCTGCCAGTCAAATTTACGCCACCTACCGCTCCCTTGGAAGATATCTGGAGAATCCCAACACCAGGCTGTGAGAAGAATGTCTAGACCTATCGCCTGATAGATTGCACGCGGCATTACTCGTGCCCGGCGAAGGCTCCATAGACAGCACCCCTCTTCTGGTGCTAGCCTTGTCGACGATGGACATAGAGCTCGCGCAATAACGCACCTTATCATCATAAGTGCTGCGACCAATATTTCGACTTGTGACTATCCGTTGTTCGAGGGCTCGACGAGATCGCGGCCACTAACTGGCGATGGGTTGTCGGCACCCGAGGCGTGGACTTGAGATCGGCCTCTGCGCGAGGTGCTGGAGCGATTCCTGTATGCGAGATATGTGCGACGAGGGCGCTATGCGTGACATAGTCTTCGGCGAAGTCTGATGAGTGGTGTCGATG